AGGAGGAGGAGGAGGAGGAGGAGGAGGAGGAGGAGGAGGAGGAGGAGAAGAAGAAGAAGAAGAACTTTATTGTCATTGTACAAGTACAACGAAACTGTGGATGCACCCCAGCAGCTGTTCTCAATACAATAAAACCAAAGCAGGTTAATGGGGTGGAGAGGGAATGGGATTTTGCAGTAACCTTCCATCTGAAGTGGGGTGGGCATGGATATTTTGGAGTATCCTTCCCCTGTCACGCCCACCAAGCCATGCCCACCAAGCCAAGCTACGCCCACCAAGCCACGCCCAACACCACAGAACCAGTAGTAAAAAAAAATTGAATCCCACCACTGCCCCTAATCATTCTGGTTGCTCTTCTCTGCACTTTTTCTAGAGTTTCAGCATCTTTTTTATAGTGTGGTGACCAAAATTGGATGAAGTATTCTAGATGTGGTCTTACTAAGGCCTGATAGAATGGTATTAGTACCTCATTTATCTTGATTGTATCCCTCTGTTAATGCAACTTAGGATTGCATTGGCTTTTTTGGCTGCTGTTGCACACTGCTGGCTCATATTTAGCTGGTTGTCCACTAAGACTCCAAGATCCCCCACTCAGTTACTGCTATTAAGCCTGATTTCACCCAATCTATATGTGTGCTTTTGGTTTTTCTTGTCTAAGTGTAAGACTTTACTTTTCTCTAAATTGAATTTCATTTTGTTAGATAGGGCCCAGTGTTCAGGTCTATCAATATCCCTCTGGATCTTGAGCCTACCATGTAGGGTGTTGGCTATTCCTGCCAGTTAGGTATCATCCACAAATTAGGTAAGTTCCACTTCTATTCCCTCATCTAAGTCATTTATGAAGATATTGAAGAGTACTGGGCCTAAGATGGAGCCTTGTGGTACCCCACTGCTTACTTCCATTCATGTAGACATAGATCCATTAAGGACTACTCACTGAGTACAGTTTATCAGCCAGTTAAGAATCCATATGGTGGTGATGCTATCTATCCCACTTTTTTGTATCTTGCCAAGAAGTAGGTTATGGTCTACTTGTTGAATGCCTTGCTGAAAGAGATCCTCTCCTGATTTCCTGCTCTGAGACCCATAAAGCCACAGATGATCTCCCAGGGGAACATAATATTTCCAAGGCATATTACACTTCACTACCTTTCCAAAAACTAATTGACATTTAACACCATGCTGCACAAGGTTATACAAGAGGAGGGAAATTATTTCTGTCCTTTGCCTCTTTTTATTTGGCCACCCCTCAGCTTCCCACTTTGCACTTTCCAGCCTTCTAGCAATTTCATTGGTAAAATCTGGCAGCCTGACTTTGCATGGAAAATTAGTGCGGTTTTGCACAAGCCATTATTTGAGAGCCGAAATGCTACTTTCTGGGTTTCTCTTTTTTTGTGGGGCAGGGGGATTTTCCTCAACCCTGTTTGTGTTACATCATGACTTTGTTCACTGTGGCTGAAAGAAAGACCAAAATGTTGTTCTTGTCTTTGAATTAAGCAGCAGCAGCAGAGTGCTGAAGGACAGTGGGAGGGAGAATACAGAATAACAGAATTGGAATGGACCTTTGAGGTCCTCTAATCTAACCTCCTCCTTGAGCTGGAGACCATATACCAGTTTGGACACATGGTTATCTAATCTCTTCTTAAAAACCTCAAAACTTCTGGAGGCAAATTGTTTCGCTGATTGATTATTTTCACTGTCAGAAAGTTTCTCCTTAATTCTAGATGGGTTCCCTCTTTGATAAACTTCCATCGATTGTCCTGTCCTCAGATGCTCAACCCCCTCTTCTGTGACCACCCGTCAAACATCAGAAGACTGCTATCATGTCATCTCAGTTATCCCTTTGTTAGACTAGTCATATCCAGTTCCCCCAATCGTTCATCATATGCTTTATCCACCAGACCCCTAATCCTCTTTGTTTCATGTCTATGGAGATTCTTGGTCATCCAGGTCATGGTTGTCCCAAAGGTGCTTTTTCACGAGGCAACTGGACTTTTTGGTTTTTCTCAGAAAAAGAAAAGTCACAGTCAAGAACATTCAAAGGAAACCAGAAAATCCAGTTGCCTCTTGAAAAGCACCTTTGAGACAATCATCTTTGTTGCCCCTTCTCTGCACTCTTTCTAAAGTCTCCACATCTTTTTTGTATTATGGTGACCAGAATTGGATGCCGTATTCCAAGTGTGGTCTTACCAAGGCAGTATATAGTATATACTACTGTATACCATACACTTCACGTAATCTTGATACTATCCCTCTACAGTTTTGATTTGTAGCTATCATGCAGACGAGGAGAACCCCATAGGACTATAGATGAACACATATCTGTTGTTTGTTCGCTTATTGCTCCCCCCTCCCCCAACACCATTAGACAATCCTTCTGCTGCTTCTTGATGAAAACAAGTGCTGGCCTCTCCGGTTATCTTCAGATCAGTATTTCTGAACTGAACAGTAAAAATAGAAAGAAACAGCACTAAAGGGATTACTGGAGAGCCCCACTTGTCCATTACAAATCATTCAAATGAAAGGGTGTCCTGTAGAGAAAAAAAAAAACACGGCAGCAAGACTGTAATGGGTTTTTCAGAGCCTGGGAAATAGATTGGCCATTTGCAAAATATTACTAGGACAGATGCTTGCACAATCTTCTTTTATCGGCAAAACGGGTAGCCACCTCATTGTGTCACATTTAAGCAAAATAAATTGGATGTTAAAAGTAAATGTATCCAACTGCTAACATTTCTGAAACCAAATCCCTTTTCTTTTCAAGCTGGTTAAAGTTGATGCTGAGAATCTTGCTCCTGGGGGCTTGATGCAAAATCTCCTATGTCACCTCCCTCTGCAAAGCACTACTGGGTGAAAGGTGGTCCTTTAGATGTGGTTGCACTCTAGCGCCCGTCGGTTGCAGTTAAAATGGCTGAAGGCCAGGAATAAAGAAAGTTGTGGACCAAGAACATCTGGAGGGCTAGAACTTAGCTACTACTGCTCAAAACACTACTGATGGGGATTTTGTGCAGCCACAAGAACATCGGGGAGGGATTTCTGAGTGTACCACTTTAATGAGGATCACTGTAGTGGTGCTATATTTACAAGGCCTCCTCAGTTCCAAAGGTGATAATAATGAACATTTTTGTGCCCTTGTTCCTGTTTGTCAGAAAGTAAACCTGGCCCTCCGATCACTTACCTGAGTTCCAGGGGCTCCCGGTGGGCCTGGAGGTCCCGGAGCGCCTGGAGGTCCCTGCAAGCCACAAATTAAAAGAAAAAGTGATAGAAAATTCGGCTCTTCAGAGAACACGGAACCCTCCCCACGATTGAGGAGCCAAAGTTGCCACACACAGAGGAGCAAGCATGCACATACACCCACACACACACCTGAGGGCCCGGCTGAGGCTGCCAGGGGTTCCCGATCCACAGTCCCGGAGCGCCCTGTGGGATCCAAAAGGGGAGAGCATTTAGCAAAGGCCAAGCAGGACATGGGTTCCACCTTCCGGAGCAGCAAAGGCGTTGAGCAGTTGAGCGAAGAATGGGGTATGGGTGGCTTGAACTCTCATCCAGCCTGGCAGCAAATCCCCAGGGCTGTGGGGAAGCAGGAGTGTGGGGCGACGCTTACCGGAAGCCCAACATGGCTTGTGTCCGTCCGAGGGCCAGGCTGGCAGGTGCATTCGCCAGAATCTCCCTGGGAAGATACAAAAAAAAACAGGTATGTGGGCTTGAAGAACCTAGTGAGGACAGGTGTGGGGAACAGGGCATCCTTTGCTACTGAAGGTTTTCGCTTGATCCATAAACCAAAGTGAGGGGTTTGTATAAACCATGGATGGCATTGAAGGCCCTCAAAATTGAAGTTAAAAACAAGCAAAGGTACCAAATGGGAATGTAGTAGGATGAGAAGATTAACCCACCTTCTCGCCTTTCGCACCTTTTTCACCCTAGACAAAAATGGAAAAGGAAAGAAAGCAAAATCAAACATGGGCGCTATTGTGGTATTAAGAGGCTCACTTAGATCATTATCAGATGAAACTCAGAACTAACCCCGAAATCTTGCAAAGTCCTCTTGACTTGCTCTCTTGACTAGCACATCTCAGACATATCCTTACTGAGACTCCGTCTAGTCCTTTTTAAAGGTACGTTCTCAGTTCTGCCAAAAGTGGACTAGTTTACCCTTCACTGGGACAGATTTCAAGGCCTGCCAGGTCCCAATCAAGAGTTTGATTCTCAAATTCTTTGGAGTTACTAGGAATTAGGCTGAGGAACTTCTGCATCAGGAATAGGGAAATGGGGGCCCTAGAAGACTCCCAGCCCTGTGTCTCCCTTGAAAATGTCTCTGCAAGTATGTGTCTACATGTATCTGTCAAGAAGATGCCTCTCTTTCAGACATCTCTCTTAGGGGATTGAAGAAAAGGGAAAGAGGGAAAAGAAAGGAAGATGGCAGAAAGACTGAGAGATTATCTTCAAACCATTTTAGTTCTGACTCAACTTCAGCCTTGTCCACCCCAAAGAGATTTTGTTCCAAATCAGGCTACCATTACAATGAACAAACAAATGTAAATATATCCCAGATCATAATTCTACTATGAAATCTCCGTGGAGATTGTCAGTCATTCAGGTTGTGGCTGTTCCAAAGGTGCTTTTTTGAAAAGCAACTGGACTTTGTTTTTCCTTGAAGACGTTTTGTTTCCCATCCAAGAAGCTTCTTCAGTTCTTGGATGAGAAGCAAAATACCTTCAAGGGAAAACAAAGCACTTTGGGACTACTATGAAATCTGTTTTGGTAACAATTTTGGTATCCCTCCCAATTTTACCATACCTTAAGCTTTCGTCTCTTGGCAACTTTAAAATGTGTGGACTTCAACTCCCAGAATTTCCCAGCCCACTGTGCTGACCAGGGAATTTTGGGAATTGACATTTACATGTCTTAAAGTTGCTGAGGTTGAAAAATATTTTCTTAAATAACAATAGCAATAGCACTTAGACATATACTGCTTCACGGTTCTTTTTACAGCCCTCTCTAAGCAGTTTACAGAGTCAGCATATTGCCCCAAACAATCTAGGTCCTCAATTTACCGACCTTGGAAGAATGGAAGGCTGAGTCAACTTGAGCCTGGTGAGATTCGAACTGCCAAATTGCAGGCAGTTGGCAGTCAGCGGAAGTAGCCTGCAATATTGCACTCTAACCACTGCACCACCGTGGCTCTTTTATCCAGGTGTTTCAGGCCAGGCCAAGAAAAGGACATCAAATCCAAATCTGATTTAGATGGACTTAGAAAGAGAGTCAATGGATTTACAAACTTTAATGCATCCCTTCCCAATTTGTTCGCTAAAACAAAATTCCTTAGAGGAGAAGAAGTATATTGAGGTGTCCTTTTTTGGAGCAAATGACTGCCCCACTCTAAACATTTTTAACAGGTGTCCTTTTTCGGGGGGGAAGAGTTCTGAGCAAAACGCAGAAAAAATCTTATTCTGTTTTTCATTCAGCTTAGCTCCCATACAGTACAATATGTCTCAAAAGGATTTTTGCAAGGAGAAACATCTGTGTTATTGGTTACTTTCATACAAAATGTTACACTCCCCAACCCTCACAACCTAACAATATCTGCTAGCGAAGCAGATCTCTTTCCTTTTAAAAATAAGTTGACTGCATCATGTATCCTTTACAAAATTTTCAGGCTTTTAAAACTTTAGATCCAATCGTTGCTAACAAGCCATTTTTTGAAACAAATGCTTTAACCCAAAAAGCTGTTTTCACACTTTTCTTTTTTGAATCAATGCCTATGAAATTGGGTTTGGCTTGATTTCCTCAGACAAGTCAGTATTCTCAAAATATCCTCTAGGATTCTGCACAGAAGGCATTTCTAAAAATTATTTTTATGTATGTATTAGTCAAATTTATATGGCCACCCATTTCAAAGAAGCCACTTTAATAATAATACTAATAGCAGTAATTTTTGTAAAAGAACATCTATATTAAAAGTACAGGTAATTCTTGACTGACAACTGTCAACTCGTGAAGCTTCCCTGACCCGCTCCTGAATTGCCATAGGCAGGGGATGGGAATTGCGCCTTGCAACTGCACCGGGGAATTTACTCCTCGGTCATAACAGGACGCAATCTGGCCAAGCAAGTCAAGGGCATCTCCAATAGATATCAGCAATGCCTAGAGGGAGTGACTTCCACAACCCGCGAAATTACCTCGTTGGGGAACGTGACGGGTGACACATTTTGGGGGGAGGGGGAAACAGGGTCAGAGGTGAGGCGCAAAGGGGGTGAAGTCAGAGTTGGCTTCACCCAGGTAAGGCTGACATGGTGCTCCTAACAAAAGATTGGATTTTTATTGACAGATGGCTTGAGGCTCTTAATTGCATTAGGGTCCTGGTCAGAACCCTGACAACAACTATAATTGAGACTGGAATTATAGCCATACATTGTGACTGTTGTTAAGCAGTTCATCATGTGACCAACCCAATTTTACATTTTTTTTTGTTTCAGTCATAAAGGCGACACCATGACTGTTAAGTGAACTCATTGTCTGCCATGTATATTTTTTCCTGGACACTGCAAGTAAACACTGATTTTCAACCAAGAAATGTAAATTTTGGTCACATGACTATGGCATGCTACAAATGGCCGCAAATATAATCTGGTTGTCAAGCGCCAAAATGTGATCATGTGACTGAAAATTTACATTTTCAGAATTTTGAATCTATTTTTGGGTCTGTCATAACTGTCATGACTTATAACTGACCAGTCATAAGTCAAGGACTACCTATATCCAGTTCCAAGCCTACCTCTTTGTCTAAAACTTATTTCGCTTCATCCATCATATGGTACTGTTATTTCTAAACAACATCATCCATTTAGATTAGAAAATATTTATAGCCATTAGTTGATTTCCTTATTTGTATCCCCAAATCTAAATGTGGATTTCGTTCCTGGGTCAAATCAAGGAGCTAACAAATCCATCAGAAGAAAATTGCTTTCTAAAATCACCAGAGAGAGCTCCCACCCAGATCCTGTGGGCTCCCTTTCTCGACCAGCAACTTAAAGATAGATGGACTTCAATTCCCAGAATTGGCTGAGGAATTCTGGGAGTTGAAGTTCACATATCTTACAGGTCTATGGAGATTCTCAGTCATCCTGGTCATGGTTGTCCCAAAGGTGCTTTTTCAAGAGACAACTGGACTCTCAGAGCTGAAGAAGCTTCTTGGATGAGAAGTGAAACATCTTCAAAGGAAAAAAAAAAACCAGAAAGTCCAGTTGCCTCTTGAGAAAGCACCTTTGGAACACATACCTTACATTTGCCAAGGTTGAAAAACACTGGTCTAGAGATATTGTGTTTACACAGTTTAATGTATTTATCTTTCCCCTGTCCTTTTTCCTTCTCTTTATGCACAGAGAAGATCATGCCGGTGGGCTGTTGCACAACCCATCTTGGGATGGATTATCACTATCTCAGAGGGTTACAAGGGCATCTGGAGGTGTGGCCAAAAAATTAGTATGGCAAGTCATGACAGTACAACCCCATTCTGCCTATTTTTTTTTAAAGGTGTGATGCACCATGCAGACACCCTGGCCAGGTTACAATTTTTCATTTGCAGTTCACAGAAGCAAAGAAAATCCCATCTCCAGCTTGGCTTCAGCAGAGACGTGTCTCCAGATCCATATTCCACCCAGCCCCTGAACAGCATCGCTGCATTAAAAAAACAGGCGAGATACATGCAAAAATCAATTGGAATTACTTAATAACCAAAGAACAGGTCTCTGAAGACTCTGCATAATGGTTTTTGGATTGGAAGAGTCAAAAGTCTCCCCTTGTGAGAGAGAATGTATAATTAATAACTCTTTATCTCAGTGGCTGATCACATTCTGAAGTTATTAAATAATAAAAAACGGCCCAAATCCAATTTGGTTTTCAATGTTGTATGCTGGCCTTTGAAACACAGCTTGCTATTAGAACAGCAGTGAACATTTGAGCTGTACTTTTCCAATAACCACGAACAATTGCCTATGCTTTGCAAATGAGACGGCACGTTGTGTTCCTCTTGATTTTTTTCTCTAACACCCGGCTAGTCTAACCATGGTTATATCAGCCTTATTTTCCAGTAGAAACCCAAAATTTTCACCAGGGATGTGCAATCCAAGTGCCCTATGTCCAGATCCTCAAAGCTTGGGAGGGTTGTCTTTACAGCCCCTCCAAAGGTTGCTAAAAAGCTGCAATTCTTATATGAGGCAGAAGAATGTCTAGGAAGATTCTCAGTCATCCAGATCATGGTGTCAGCCTTGGAAGCCATTTTTTTTTTTTTTTTGGAAGCTTCGAGGCTGCCACATTCAGTGCCTGGGAATTTGGGAGGGGGGATTTCATAGTGGGGTAAAAGACTAGACACAACAACATTCTTTCTCAGAGAGTCAAGGACATGTTGCCCTGCACCTGAAGGGGAGTGACTGGGATGGATGTCTCCAGTTGGGACAAAGGCTTGATTGGGCCATGTGATCAGAGGTGGAATTCAGCAGGTTCTGACCAGTTCTGGAGAACCAGGAGCGGAACTTTTGAGTAGTTTGGAGAACCAGCAAATACCCCCTCTGACTGGAGATTTTATAGTATCCTTCCCCTGCCATGCCCACCAAGCCATGTCCACAGAACTAGTAATAAATTTTTTTGAATCCCACCACTGCATGTGATGGACTGGTGGGTGCAGGGGGGTGGATTTTTTGATTCTATTTTGGGAAGAGAAAACCCGGAGCTCTCAGATTTAGGTTTTCCCAGCTGTATCAATATGACAACTCTAATAAAATGGAGTTTTGAAGAATTGTTTGTTTCAGTTTGGAGGTTGGCTAGTTGGAACACTGACACATGGTTGCCCCAAAAGCACTTTTTCAAAAGGCAACTTGACTTTTTTGAAAATCCAGCTGCTTTTTGAAAAAGAATCTTTGGGGCATAAGAGGCAGAAGAACAAAAATATTCAATAAGTGGAGACAAAACCCTTATACTAAATTAATCCAATGGGATTTGATTTACATTCATGTGAAATTAAATCCGCCTGGCTCCTCTCTCTCTTTGGCTTTGCTAATTTTGGAATTGTAGACTTGGGCTCACTATTCATGTGCCTTATGGCCTGGAAAAAGCTATTTACTCTAATTTGCACCAATGTTCACACCTGGGCTGTGTCAAGGCTGAATTTGGTGACATTCTATGAATCTGATTCTTTCTTTGATTGTATTTTGTACTGTACTTTTGTTTCAGAGCTTGCTCCAAACAGCTGCAGAGTTTGGCAAAAGGTAGAGAGATGGTGCTTTAGTAATTACAAGCTTTCCAAGTAGGCCAACCTCTTCTAAAGAAAAAGTGTTTTCTGACACCATTCTGAAATCCAACAGGGTTTTGGAGAAGAATTATCTGTCGCTAGTGCTTTGAGATTTGAGAAGTTTGCAGGTAATTCAAAAGGGTGTACTGGAAGAGATCTTGGAAGTTTTGTATAAATCTTCCCTCAAAGGAATTCAGGTTGCAGCTTACGTACCATTAAACCATTGGAACCAGAAACTCCAGGGAGGCCCTGCTGGCCTTCTGGACCCTGAAAAGAAATATAGCAAAGGGTTAAGACAGTGTTGTAGAGACAGCTCCAGAAACATCATTTTGGCCACTATCAGCCAATTATGGGATACTAGGAGGAGAGGGAGCCAAGAGTCTGAGGCCCCCTCTTAATTTTTTCATTTGTTTCCCCTGCTTGGACAACTGATCCTTTAAAACTTTACCATAATCAGCCCTCCTGATTACAGAAAACACAACCAGACAGAAAACACAACTAGGTAAGTTAAATTTACTTTATTGTAAGGATGCAGTATTAACAGTATTGTGCAAGTCTGAAAGTATGTTTCTCCTGCTGTCCCTTTGAACTGGTCAATCCATGAGGGTGGTGCCTTCCTAAGTTTCTTTCCTTGACCATTGAGTGACTGGGATCCTCCCTCTCTTGTCTGATCATTACCTAGGCAGCATTTCTTCCATTCATCTTCCAGGGCCATTCTCACATACTATTATAACCATTCACTGAGCTTTCTAATGGAAAGACAGCCCTTTCTTACCTCCTCCTTTGATCACAGATGCCAAATTTCTAGCATGGAAACCTTGGTGGTCTTATTGGACCTCATCACACTCATCATCCACTTGCTAGCTTGTTCCTATTTGCATGCTCAGGCTCTGCTAAATACAGAGCCCAGGAAAAGAACTGGAAGATTATTCCAACCAGAGTTATTACACCTGGAGAAAGTGAACAAGACTGGACGGTGGCCAGCTTAAAATTTCCAGGGTCTAAGATGAAAGTGAGGGAGAGGGAAAGATTCTTATACTTACCTGTGGGCCAGGAATTGGTAGACCTGGAAGCCCAGGGGGACCAATGGCACCTTTAACACCTGGTGAGCCCTATATTGAAAAACAAAACAAAACATTATAGGTCCTCTTTGACTTACAATCATTTTCTTAGCAACAGTTTGAATTTATAATGGCACTGAAAGAAACTACTTCTAACCAGTCCTCACACATACAGCTGTTGCCTCACCCCCTACATTCCCCCCCCAATCCCCCCAACCGCCGGTTGCCTCAAGTAATTCAAGAAATCAAAATTTGGGGAGCTGACAAATTTGGTATGTATTTATGATGGGCACAGTGCCCTGCAGTCATGTGATCTCTATTTGGGATCTTCCCAGATAGTTTCTGAAAATGGGAGAAGTTAAATTCACTTAATGACTGTATGAGTCATTTAACAACTGCAGTGATTTGCTTAACAACTGTGGCAAAAATTTGCAACAGAAATGCTGGTCCCAACTGCAGTTTTAAGTAAAAGTCTACCTGTGTTGTGCACAGGTTCCAGACGTCTCAGTCCAGTCCAAACACTAAAGCCTCCAATTTGGCTTTGTAATTGGTTTCCTGCTAAAAATATATCGGTCCATATGACACTCATCTTTTTCCTTTCACAACTATTTATCTCTGCTGCCAAAACTGGGGTATGTCTGGTATCATCTGAAATGGTGCAATGTCCTTCCCCACCCAATTTAAAAATATTGAACGCAGTTTGAGTCAGTGTGCATCCTAATTGTAGTTGATAGTGGTATTCTGTGCAATTAGAGCCCTCTTCTCTACCCAAAGTATCCCAGAATATTCACAAACCGGCAGCTGATTTGAGACATTTATGGTAACAAATATGGGGAATGGAGAAAAAATAATTAATCAGGGAAGCTCATAGCTTCCATATTGATTCTTATTTAGATTTTATTAGCAGCATGGCAGCCAATCTCTCAGAAGGGATCTCAACATGAAACAAAACAATTTTAAGTTCAGTGACCAGAAAACAAAAGATGTAATCATGTACTGCAGTATTATTACATTCTGTCATCAGAGATAACAAAAAAACAAACAAAGGCATGAAAAAGCAAGGGGAAGAAAAGAGTTTTTGCACTGAAATGATACCAAGTTAATTGTCACATGTCTCAGTGAAAGAAGCACGGATAACCTGTAGCCATCTGTTGGAGCTGGATTACAACTTGTATTAGCCCAGAGCTGGCCATTGGCCATGCGATGGACTCCAACAACACCTCAATAGCAAACGTTCAATGGTATGGTTACGTCGATCATCAGGAAGCACCATGCTACTGGTATTATCCTTACTGGACACTATCAGACATGGGTAGCCAGAATTGTGTATGTAGGGCAGGGGTGGGCAAACTACGGCCTGGGGGCCACATCCGGCCCGTTGGTCTGTCCAATGCGGCCCGCCCCTGAAAAAAATAACTGCCATTGGTCTGTCCAATCCGGCCCGCCCCTGAAAAAAAATTGCTGGGTGTGGCGTATTGCCCTGTGTCGCGTGGCCCCCAAAGCTGCAAAACAGTGCGGAGCGATCTAGGGGTAGGAAAGAAAAGAAATTTGCAAAGGCCTCGGCTGGGAGTTCGAAATCACCTTCGAGTGCGACCTCTCCGAAGGTGAATCCCCGCCGATCCCCCTTTTTTTTCTGGGGCTTCCAGGCTTAAACTTTGCAAAGGCAAAGCTTGCAGGCTGGAGCGTCTTCCCGCCGAGGAGCGGGAAAGGTTCCACCCGGCAGGCGGGGCGGGCTGCTTGGAGCCACCTAAAGCTAGGCCGCTGCTGGTGGAGCCTTGCCCTGCCTTGGTGCCCCGTTTCCTGGCTCGGCGGTCCTGCTCGGGCGGCACTTTAAAAGCCTGCTCCCAGAACCCGAGCAACTTACCAGCAACTTTCGGCTTCGTTTTAACTCGCGGGCGCCAGGCATGATATTCCGCTCTGAGAAAAAAATCGGGGCCGGCCAAAAGAGACCCCCCGCCGCGCGCCCGGGGAGTGCCCGCTGCTTTCCCTCGCCGGGGCCGGGCGGCGGCGTGTTGCACGGAGGCTGGTTTGTGGCTGGCCCAGCTCCCTTTTCCTGCCGCTCAGCGGCCTCCGCTCGCACCTCCCGGGCTCCGCTCAGGTATCCGGCTGGGGCTGTCAGGAGTTGCTACCGCCGGCGCAGCTCCACGCGGCTCCAGTCCCGCGTTGCCTCGGGAAGGGAAAGGCAAAACCAGGAGCCGCTGCTGCCGTTGCAAAGCGCCGCCGCGGCTCTTCCTTTTTGCCTTTCCCTTCCTGAGGCAACGCGGGACTGGAGCCGCACGGAGCCGCGCCAGCAACTCCTGACTCGGGGCCTCCGAGGGGAGGGGAAGGAGGAGAAGAAGGGGTGGGGGGAAAGGAGGGGGCGATTCCCCAAAAAATCGGAATTCCGATTTTAATCGGAAGAATATCATGCCTGGGGCGCTCGCGCCTGGCCCCGAGCCGCGCGGCAGAGGGGAAGCCCGGCGGGCAGGCGGGCAGGCGGGCTGCTTGGACGAGGCGACCCAGCGGCGCTCCGGGCTTCCCCTCCGCCATGCAGCTCAGGGCGAGGCGCGAGCGCCCGCGAGTTAAAACGAAGCCGAAAGTTGCTGGGAAGTTGCTCGGATTTCCGGGGCTTCCAGGCTTAAACTTTGCTCGGGTGACACTTTAAAAGCCTGCTCCCAGCACCCGAGCAACTTCCCAGCAACTTTCGGCTTCGTTTTAACT